ATTTGGACTGTATTAATTCTGAAATAAAGTGGCTTCACTTTCTGTCCCATACTTTATAATCATATATTATACTTTCTAATTGTATAGCATTAAAATTGTATTGATGAAATGTTTGATGGTTTATATCACGGTCAGCAGAGGATCCAAGTCCACATCTCGCAACAGACCATCACGGCCGTTCGATCAATCGAGATGAAAGATGAACGGTCTGGATGGGTTGATCCCTGCCGCGCCGGACTGGTAGGAGAGCGTCGCCCTGTGCCCCCACCAACCTCAAGAAACCAGCAGACGCCCCTAAAATACCCGAACTACCCCCATACACCACATACTCATCGTCCCACCGCAAGCGAAACTATCACGGGTAATTAGGGAAATAGACTTACATGTTACAGAGCCCGGCCTTGGCTTTCTTCTTCTTTTGGTACTGCGGAATAGAGAGCGATCCCCACTGCGACGTCCACATCCTTTTATGAGTTTTGACCCCTCAATCTTTCCTTAATTCTCCGAGACGTCCTCCAACTCGAGTCCAAAGTACACAGACTCTGCGTTCAGTCTTCCCTTTTATATATATCTCCCTCTCCATGTCGCCGTTCCTCTCGCAATTGTTCCTCTTTTCGCCGAGTAGAAGAGGATCGGGGACGCTCAAAACCCTAGAATCCGGATCCAAAGGTGCTCTCCCAATTCTTCCCCGTCTTTCTTTCGTTCCTTTTCCGGATATGTGATCGATCTTGAACTCCAATTGCTTGTTTGGACTTGATCTCGGTTGATGAAAGTTTCGGCCTAGATTTAGGGTTATGTCGTTGCTGGAATCTTTGACGTAGATTTCGTTCTTGAAGCTTTTTGAATGGGGGAAGAAGAAAGCTGGAATCTTTTGTCATGGAACCTACTATCTGGTTCTTTTCTTGAATTATAGGTTAGGGCAGCGTCCGAGGCATGGACGACTATGTGGGGATACCTGAGGACCTGAGGTGCAAGAGATCGGACGGGAAACAGTGGAGGTGCAGCGCCCTGTCGATGCCAGATAAGACCGTATGCGAGAAGCACTACATCCAGGCGAAGAGGCGGGCGGCAAACTCTGCGCAGAGGGCGAGTGAGAGGAAGGCGAGGCGGAAGTCTCTTGACGACGCTGATATATACTTGGAGAGCAGGAGTAAGGAGCCTGAAACGTCGAGGTCCATGTCTCCGATGAATGTAGGTGGGGCGGAGTTGCCTTCTGTGAACAAGTACAAGGAGAAGATGCCCAGAGGGCAGGCCTTGTACTCTCGTGGGACAGCGAGGAGTTTTTCAGCGCATGGTGTTAAGGGAAGGTCTATTCAGGAGGTGCAGAGAGATGCGCTTCATGTTGAGGAGAATCAAGTTAGAACTGTATACAAGACTCCACCATTGTATAGGGAGGCAAAGAACTACAATGGGAGTAGCCGAGGGGTGAGCTAAAGTTGCTGCTTCCTTCTTTGTAATTAGTGTTTGTTTTTTAAGCAATCTGGGATTTTGTATACGGTCTTATAGGAATCTTCTGGAAAAAGTTCTGGTTCTTCTGGTGAGGCTGATGGACAAATTTGTCATCACTGCCGGAAGAATGACCGAGCTAGTGTCGTTTGGTGTATTAGTTGCGAGAGGAGAGGGTACTGTAGTGGCTGCATATCAAGATGGTATTAATTTTTCTGCTGCATGTTAAGTTTTAAGCTTTTAGTTTAATGGAGAGTTGACTGCTCCATGATGAATTGCATCTATTAGGTATGCTGACATCCCTGTGGAAGACATCCGTCAGGTTTGCCCAGCATGTCGTGGTATATGTACTTGTAAAGCTTGCTTGCAGGGAGATAATTTAGTTAAGGTAGCTTTCCCCCTTTTCATCTGATTGTGCAAATTACATTGTATCTTCACTCATGTTGGGATATTTATTTTGTCTTTTCATTCTGTGTTTGTGTTTTTTTCCTTTCCTTTTCTTTTTATTCGATGCATGCCTACTTCAATTACTTAATTCCTATCTTTATTTTCAGGCTAAGATACAGGAGATGGCTGCAATCGATAAGTTGAGATATCTTCATAGCCTTTTGAAATTCATACTTCCTGTGCTTAAGCAGATTTATGCAGAGCAATGCTTTGAGATAGGCGTTGAAACAAGAATATATGGTACCTTTAGTTGCCGTTGCTTTCTTTGTTTACTTCTTTTGCAGATTTCCTAATTTTATTTGCTTCGTCCTTTAATCTTTCTTACAATTCTGATATTATCCTTTGTCTCAGGGCCTAAAGCTGATATTCCAAGGGTAAAGATAGATGCGGATGAGCAGCTGTGCTGGTACTTTCCCATTAATACATTACTTCATAATTTTCTCTTGTTACTATCAATTGAAGCGCTTGCACATTCTTCAATCATGGTTTCATAGGCATTAAGCAATAATACCATAATTGGGTGCAGTGACTTCTGCAAAGTACCAATTCTCGATTATCATCGACACTGTACAAACTGTTCATATGATTTATGCCTCACCTGTTGTCGGGATCTTCGACGGTCATCTTCGGTTGCCGTTAGAGGTGAATGCAATCAGGGTTGGTCTTCTGAGAGAAGCAAAGATGCCAATGCTGTGGCCACATGTCTAGAATCATCTGAAAGAAGTGCTAGTGATGACTGTACAATTAACTTTGTTCATCAGTTTCCCAGGTGGAAAGCCAACAGTGATGGCACCATCAATTGTGGACCTATGGAGGCAGGTGGCTGTGGGTCCTCGAAGTTAGTTTTGAGGCGTATTTTCAAAATAAACTGGGTCGCAAAACTGGTAAAAAGTGCTGAGGAAATGGTTAACGGATGCACAATTTGTGATGTAGATGGTTTGATGAGATGTCCTTGTACAGGGAATAACACTTCTGAGTCAAATTGGGTAAGTAAGTTCACTCGTCGTCAGTGCTCTATGAGAGATGGTAGCGATGATAATTTCTTGTACTTCCCATTGTCAGAGGATATAAAACATGAAGGCATCAGTCATTTTCATGAGCACTGGGTTAAGGGTGAACCAGTTATTGTAAGACATACATTTGAGTGTCCATTGGCTTCAAGTTGGGATCCATCCATTATATGGAAAGGCATTCAAGAGACTATAGATGAGAGAATGGATGAGAATATGAAGGTGAAAGCCTTCAATTGTTATGATCTGTCAGAGGTATGTTTCCAGCATGACTCATCCTTTCTGGTGATTTTTGTTGTTGGTTTCATTTGCAGTAATGCTGATTTCAGTTTTATTGAGACAACTTTGGGTGCCACTTGAGCAATCTTCCATCACTAGCATGTTTTGTTTTGGAAATTTCAAGAACTTTTGCCGATAATGCTTTTCTTTATTATAGTGTCTTAATTTGGAGACATTTGAACAGAAAAATGCTGCATATGGTAAAAACATTGGAAACCATAACTGCAGCTGCATTATCCTAGATCCTTTACCATATTTGATATTACCCCACTTCATTGTCTCTGTCAATGATTGCTGTGGAATTTTTTTGTTTGATTCTAAATGTGATTTCACTTAAATTGGTTCTGCATTTTGTCTAAAGAGCAATCAGTATTTGTTAAGACTTAAGACAACTTACTGTTTCACAGTACTTCCATACATTTAAAGATTTTTTGTTCATATAGTCAATTATTGGGTTAATAGGATAATAGGGATCAGTAAATGTAAATCATGCTCAGTAAACTCAATGTCAAAGCATCACATGTTAGTAGTAACATTGATGCCAAAGTGTCGTACATTTTATTGCAGACATTAGGATGTCAGCTTATATCCAGAGGGTATAATCAAACAGAAATTTGAAGTGTAGGAGGTTTCCCCCAGTTTTAAGTGTTTTAGACCTAACGAAGCAAAAGAATCGAGGCAACCCCTTCTACCTTGAAGCATGATGAAGGATATCTGTTGCACCATTAACTTGAATAAATAGGATTTAAACAATGTATCCAAAAGTGCTTATTCCAAATACCAGTTTTAAGCTCATTAAGCTTTATATACCAACACAACCAATTATCAACTTCTACTGTGGACCTAATCAAAGCATCACATATATAGTACCAAATTGGGTTTTGGTATTTCTTGTCCATATTATAGTATGATGGTATTATGGGTTTGTTCTATTTCATCTTGATTCAGTATCTTCTATTTGACATTATCTATGGATCTGTCATGATTTTGTTATGGCAGTAGGAACCCTTTTATAAGCTTTAAGGTGTGTTCTCTGGGATCTATGTGATTTGGCAACTGTATAGGAATGATGACTTCTAACACTTGAATTCCCAATATCATATTCTTATCTACTTGAATTTTATGCATCTTTGTTACAAATCTCTGTTTAGGAAAATGATTGCTGTTTCCTTTTTATTTTCCTTGATTTATCTTTAAACCATACTATGTATGGCAGGTTGAAATTGAACTAGTTCAGTTCATTAAAGGATATTCAGAGGGTTGTATGCATGAAGATGGCCAGCCAGAAATGTTAAGAATAAAGGATTGGCCAACTCCTGGTGCTGTGGAAGAGTTTATATTATGTCAGAGACCAGAGTTTCTTGGTAATTTCCCATTGGTTGAATTTGTTCATTACAAGTGGGGTATTCTAAATCTTGCTGCAAAGCTACCGCATGATGCGATGCAAAATGAAGTAGGACCTAAACTTGTTATTTCTTATGGCACACACAAAGAGCTTGATAAAGGTGATCCTGTGGCCAATCTTCAAGTAAATATGGGTGATATGGTAGGTCCACTGAATTTTCTCCACCACATGCATTTCAAGTAAATATTGGTGATACAGTCAATCTTCAAGTATTTTTTGCTATCTGAGTACATGACAACCATAATTATACATTACCACTGCATGCATTTCTTTTCAATAAGAAATAATTATTATACCTTCTATTTTATGAAATATCCTGCTTTTTGCTGAATGAGGTGGCATTCAGTAACTCTAGGATCTGATCCTATGTTTGATCTTCTTAAAAAAATTCATTACATTAAATGACATATAAGCCGCTCACACATGTACTTAGGTCATCTATCACTTGTGCAACAATGCACTAATCACTGGGATATCTCGCAGAGATGATTTATAATTTAATTGGATCGGTTTTTTATTATTGCATTTTTGCTGGTTGACACCCGTGTTAATCGACGTTAATTTTCCTGGTGTAAGAATAAACCATATATAAATAGGTGTAATTTGTAGTCATTTGAGGAATAAATGGGAGAAGGTTGTGTTGAATAACTGATAGCCAACATAAAAGATTGTATAAACTTGGATTCATGCACAACACTCAATGATGAGAAAGGATCCATGTATCCTATTGCAAATATTTGGGATATTATGGCTTTTTACTATTTATTTTTTGTTTGGTACTGGCATCTCTGTACAATCAATGAATCTGCATTGGTAAATATTTTGTGAATCTGCATCAGCAAGTACTTTGTGGTTCTTAACTGGAAGATAAATTATATGCTTTGATTACAAAGTTTGGATCATAGTTGAGACATGAACAGCTCTACTTTACCATATGGTTTGAAATCCTAACATAATTAAGCACTACAATCTGAAACCTTTTGTACTTTGTGCAGGTTTCCCTTTTAATGCACACAGCTGATGCAGCTTTAAAGAGGTCTGAGGTTGAAAAAAGCAATAGAACTTTCAAGGATTTCGAAGCTGCAAAGCCCCTTGAGAATGTCAATTTTATGGATTCTAATGTGTCTTTGGATGAGCATACAGGGATATCTGATATATCTTCCAGAGAATGCAGTAAGGAAGACGAGTTCTCCTTGGGTTTGAAAACCAAGGAGGACACCACTATGGATATTCAAGAATTCAATCACCATGAACTAAGTGCTCACGAAAGGAGGGATTCTGAATCTACTAATGCAGACAAGCACTTGCCTGACCCTTCAGAAAGAGCTTGTGCTGGAGCCATTTGGGATGTTTTTCGCAGACAAGATGTTCCTAAGCTGAATGAATACTTGAAGATTAATTGGACGAACCTTACAAGTTCTAGTGAATTTACCAATTTGGTAAAATTTGTTCTTTTGCCAGTACATTATCTTATATCTGTGCAGTATTTTACTGCCTTTTTTATTTGGTAGGTTATGCCTCTCTATAACCAAGCTGTGTACCTAAACAATGATCAGAAGAAAATGCTGAAGGAACAATTCAGTAAGTTGAATATGTGATTGGTAGCTCTTTTTTTTCTTGCGTGCTCGAGCTGTCTGACTAAAGTAGCACATCTTTTGATGTTTTCTCTAGACTTCTGTAAATAGAAATTGAAAAAAATGGCCAGTTTTTTTGTTTGTTATGATGCTAACAATGTTCTAAATTTCTCAATTGTGCTATCTTTTGTTCATGTTTTGTGTTTCTAATACTCTGAATTTCCTGTTGATCTGATAGGAATTGAGCCATGGACATTTGAGCAGCATGTTGGTGAGGCTGTTTTTATTCCTGCTGGATGTCCTTTTCAGGTTCGAAATCTTCAGGTGAGATGCATTTACAGAGAGATTGAAGTACCTAAATTGTTAATAAAGCTTTTGTATGAGCTTTTATAGTTCTTTCATGATTTATTAGAACACTCGAGGGGATATAAATGCATGTAAATGATGAAAACCCTCTATGGAGCTAGGGCTGTTAAAGTATCCATCCTGATCTGATCCAATATGGATAAATATTGATATGGATCAAATTCTGACCTAAAAATCTGATCTTATGACAGTCCCAATTCTTATGGAATCAGATATGTAGCCAGAGCAATCCAATCTGACTTTATTATATGTCGTTAGTCCACATGCTACTCCGTAACATGCAGTCTTCTCCCTCTCTATTTTATGGGACCTATCAACTGAAAATAGTTCATGTTGAAAACATTTAGGTCTTCAAAGTTGTACACCTCCTTGACTTATTTTTCTTTGAATATTTTTATTTTCTCCATCACTAACTTGTAAGATAGAGAGAACAAGCAGAAGTTAAGTTTACATCAATTACTGCAATATCTCATCATTTATGCAAAAACACTCTTCTTCACCCTCTTACCTTTTCTCTTACATTGTTTGGAATTAGGATAAAAAAAAATCCTAACTCTAAGATTTACCCTATTAGATAGGGTAAAGTCATTAAGCCAGGAACAACAGTGGTGCAATGCTTTTCTGAGAAGCTCACTGATATAATCTTTTTGTGCAAGCCAGGAATATCAGCCTTTTTGTGTCTCTTAAACTCTAATGGACACCAAGAGCATCTCTCACAAGTAATCTTCAAATGGTTTGTTTTTTTAAATTTAGTGTTGTAGGCCTCTTCTCTCTTCTTTCTCTCTCTCTCTCTCTCTCTCAATCTGTCTCAATATATTCCTCCTGATATCTATTTTCTGATGTGGACCATTTGGTCTGTATTGGAGATCTGGGTATATGTGTTTCAGATGTGGATTGGTTCAGAGCTGATTCATTTGATATTTTGGATAAGATGGGGGATGAAATTTTGGGTTAGGTATGGATCTACTTTGATCCAATTCTGATCCAATCTTTCCAGAGCCCTGCAAGGAACTATTTCAATTAAACCAAACTCCTTGTTATCCGATGGGATCAATTTTTGTTTTTTTGGGTCCTTAATCTGTATTATTCCTAAACATGGCTTATTCACTTCTCTTAAAGATGGAAAGGGAAAGATAAAATCTTCCGTTGCTTGTTTATTTTTGGGTCCATGGATGTGTTGTGCTTGTACTTACTGCATTATTTCATGTTCACCTGTTCTGGTGCGGCCATGGTTTGGATGCAGATGGCCAATTTAAATTTATTTCTGCTTGCTTTGGTGTTTTTCTCACTTTTTTGATTTATTATTAGATTTCTGTAACATTATGAGATAAATTGCTTCAAAAGATGTATAGCATGCAAGAAAATCTAGTATGCTACTGTCAGTTCCTTTTATTTCTCAAGCTTTACGACATTGTCAGTTATCTGTAAGCCAAACTGTTGTTGACTTTATTTTAATCTTGCAGTCATCGGTTCAGTTGGTTCTTGACTTTTTATCTCCGGAGAGCTTAAGAGAGGCTGCTCGTATGGCCGAAGAAATTCGTTGCCTTCCAAACAATCATGAAGCAAAACTTAAGATGTTGGAGGTTCACCCGATTTACACTAATAGTAGTTTGCTCCACAGTGCTTTTTCCATAACTACCTAGTTTGTATATTATATGTATATTGTTTTTGCAGGTGGGAAAGATGTCTATGTATGCTGCCAGTTCAGCCATCAGAGAAATTCAGAAAATAACACTCGATCCCAGGTATTTAAAATTTCTTACATCTCATTTTGGTGTTACTTAGCTTAAAAATCAGATCCCTTTTTGTGAATTTAAGATGACTGTTCACAAATTCACAACAACTCCCGGTTCATATTAACTACTAATTGTTTCTCCTGACTCTTGATTGCTTCTTTGCTGACTTGTGGCATTGCCTATTAATCCACTTACTAAATTTTGGCAGGCTCAGTTCAGATGTTAAATTTGAGAACCGGAATCTCACTGCATTAGTTTCTGAGAATATAGAAAAGTTGACAAAGCGACGACAAGTAGTTTGCAGTTGAATCGGCTGATTTCACATTTGATTAATGTAAAGATTGTTTGTGCTAAAGGATTGTATATAGTTTATATACGGTGATGTAAACATCATCTCCAAGGAAGATGAATGTAATGTTGGTGAGGTGACTCTTCTCTTTAGCTTCTAGGCCAAGCATTTGCAGAGAAATACTAGATATAAATTTATTTGGAGATGGCTACAATAGCCAAACACATTATGGACTAATAATCAAAGCTTGTAAGTTATTTTTTTTGTTTTGACTAATTAAATGACCTGACTTGTGGTATCGTCTATACCTGGGGTAATATGTTGAATTGTGAATCTAAAGGCGACATGTTGTGTAACGTTTCTGCAGCCATTGAGTTTGGTTGAATTCTTTTGGAATGCAATCCATTCAGCATTTTATATCGAGAAATGTTAAAACGTGGTTTTGTTTCTGGTCAACATGGCAATGCAGTGAGTGGAATTGTTGGTTCAGATCTGTTTTCAGTTAACTTTTTTGCCGTATGTTCTATACGATGCAAGCGTGTTGTGTTGCTCAGCTCATATACGTGCCAAGTACAAATATACAGTATTTTGCAGAATTTACGTCAAATTCTTCTATTCGAAATAATTTGTTCTCAATATTCGTTCTTGAATCCATCAATATTCTTAATCCTTTCTTTATCTTTTGGTTTTTTATTTGGATAAGATGCATAATTATAATATCCAGCCAGACTGGTCTAATCCAACAAAAAAGGAAATTGGATCCTCGGTTTAATAATGAACATTAAGATGACTAAATCTATTTGATTAATTATTTATAAAATATACTCAATTACCTATGTATAATTTTATTGGATATATAAGTTATTTTTATTATAATAGATGTTGTATTCATTACTATCTCATTCACAATCATCCTTTCTTACTAAGTCATAAAAATGATTTTCATAATTTTATTCATATGTCTCATATTTTTAGCATAATTGTATTTTATTTTAAAATATATTTTAACAAAATATAATTATACTTTTAAAATTGTATAATCTTCCAATTCCAATTGTGCCGTTTACCCATATTCTTACCCGGGCCGTCATAGGATAATCGTTATTTCCCGTTCGTTTTCTTTCCTCGGTATACGGATACGTCTACTGTAACATTTTGGATACGATACGATAAAAGTATACATATCGTTTCCTTGGGTTGGCCACTTCTCGCGACATCGTCAGGCGAGTGGGTGTGAGAGAGTTAGACGGCGATGGCGTGCGGCGCTGTGACCTTCCCGCCCCTTTCTCCGCGGATGCCCATGGCGTTCGCTCCATCCGGTTTCTCTTCTTCTTCTTCTTCTTCTTCTTCCTCTCCGTTCTTCTCCGCCGCCGCTGCTCCTCTCAGGATTAGGGCCGCAAGCACCGCGGCGCTGCCGGTGCCTCCCCTGAACCCCCGCGATCCCTTCCTCTCCAAGCTCGCCTCCGCCGCCGCCGCCGCTCCCGATCCCTTTGCTTTGGCCTCGTCACCTGACCCCGACTCCCCGCCCTACCTCCACCTCTTTGACTCCCCGAAACTCATGGCCACTCCTGCCCAGGTACTTGCTGAATTCTAGAATCTTTCCTTCCTGTCGGAAACTATTCTTCAAACTTTAGTTTTCTTGTTAAGGGACTAAGGAACCTTTTTAGCCGTTTCATTTCAGTAATAAATCTTCATGAGAGGTTCGGAAGAGAAAGTAAATGGAGGACTAGGTGTCCAGTAGCTTAATTGGGGATAGATTTGGCTGCGGGTTTGAAGATTGGTGGAGCAAATTTGTTTAGAAAAGGACAAAATCTGGAAATGTTATCTTCTTTGCTTGTTTATAGGAAATAGAAAGATGGATAAAAGTGCTTGAATGAAAGATTCGAAGAGAAGGATATGTAAGTTTGTTTTATTTAGTGCATCTGTAAGATTTCATTGTGTTGGAGTCAGGAATTAAAGGGTCGACAGCTATTCTTGGTTCAGTGTAGTTGGTGAACTGATTCGACCGGGATCTCCAAATGGATATGATTTCTGAGTTAATACTTGGCTCCACAACTTTGATTTGCAGGAAGTTGTATCAAGTGGTTTATCTATGAATTAACTCCCACTACCGGAAGAGAAGAGTTTTTTCTTTTTTTATTCCTTTTTGTTTCTGTATGTGTGCATGGGCATCTTCGTAGAAATAGTGTTTATTACCATTGGTTATTCTTACCTTATAAATTATTCATGATGATATTTGTTATCATCTTCAAATATGAGGATACAACAAAATTTTCATATGTTTCGAAGATGAGCGAGGAGGAAATTGATCATTTGGTAGTTGTGGTAGTCTCTGATGAGTGTGCTAACATGACATGCCTATGAGAACCTTCTCTCCTAGCAGGAGTATTTGTTGGTGTTATAAGTAGAGCACCTTATGTTCTTGCATGGACTAGATCAAAAGCTCCTGAAAGTAATGTAGCTGATTATTATTTTATGTTGTACAACAGAAACAGTTGTTATGTTACTTGATTTTAGATCCCAATTGTGATTCACTTTGGTTAATTGTTCTAGATTGTCATGTTGAAGATTTGGAATTATGAAACTTTTTTTTTTTTCCTTTTTCCATTTTGGTTCCTTTTTCTCCTTCCTATCCTACTTCCTCTTATTTTTCTTGTATTGAGGCTGTCAAATTGACTACAGTGGCTAGAAATGACCAATTTCAGTTGAGTTCTTTTTTAGTGTAGCTGATATTAACTAATTTTTATCTGTAAGGCTGGGAAGTCAGGCAAAACTAGATTGCCTTTGGACGATACAAGTTTGGATCTGATGTAACATATTGAAATTGGACAGTACTTTGAATTATGCTCTTTATATCTTGACCATACAAACAGCTTTTGCTCATTCTCTTAACCATATACATAACAGATCAGACTTGGACACAATTATAAGCAGAACTGGGTTGTTTACTTAGAAGTCAAAAGCCTCTAGAAGGTAGGCCAAAGTTTGGATTTGATATGCCAGGCTGGGATCCTCTTTTGGCTCGATTGGACTGCACATGACAGCGGAAAAAGGTTGCAAGATTCAATATCCACTCAGCCAAATTCGATGGTTCTTTCATTTTAGCTTCAAAATTTGATTTGACTATAAAATCATAGAGCATTGGTGAATCTGGAGTTTGACCAAGATAAGCAAGAGATAAAGGTAGCACTATCGGGGCTAACCTTATTGTCAAGAATCTCAACATGTAGCCAGTAGTCATTGACCCAACATGTATCTCAGAAACATTAGATGTCAGAAGTTGACAACTATCAAGGTAGCAGCATCAGAAATTAGGTGAATAGTATACCTGGGCACTGTGAGAAGCACAATAGCAGTAATGGAAAAAATATAGGAAGATACCAGAAGAATAGGAAAGTTTTTATGGAATTGATGGAAGTTTAGTATGATTAGCTCTGTAAGCTTCTATTATCAAGGAGTTTGCTCTTTTTCTTTCTAGGAAATGATTTATTTTTTTCAATCTCCTTGAAGTCTATTTCTCTTCCTGAAACTAGAGAAACACCAGTTAGGGTGTTTCCTCCTCCATAGCTTATCAAAACCGTACAGATCTCAATAGAAGTTCAAGCCCCTAACTTTCTCCAGCTCCATTGGCTTCTATCATGGAGATAATTAAGTCAACCAATGTTCTTTGTTTGATGTATTATCAACACATATAATGGAAGATCATGGAACTTTCATTCGGTTCACTCTGCTCTGTATGCGCAGCGCAGCCCTGATAGTGAGCGCTTGAAGCTAGTACGGGAGTTGAAGTTCTGCATGCAAAGAAGTCAAGGAGAAATAGGAAGACTCTAGTACCACAGTAGATAGACCTCTTCTTCTTTCCAGCTCTATTCTAATTTCTTTCCAGCACATCTATTTGCAATTGGCACAACTTGCACATGGTTGTATTAATTACTTCTGTTGCATGTCATCACATCTTGCAATGACTTGCCTTGACGGTGAGGCTTTTTTGATCCAGTAGTTTGTGGCGGATGCCAAATTCTAATTGTTAATTGATAGACTTAAAATTTATTTTGCTGCAAGCGTTGTAGCACAAATAGTTTATTGCATGCTCTTGGGCCAAATTGGAACTTCATATCTGCTTGGTCCAATGCATAGTAGTCCATTATAGTTTTGTGGCAAATGGTGGACATGTTTTACAACATTGTTGATTACTGGAGCTTGAAACTTGATCAGCTGGACTTGTTCTTCATCTCTTGATTTTTAATAAGTTATTGTCTCTTGGTTCCTCTATGGGCATGAATTCTTTTAGCACAGAGTCACAGACATGAATTCTTCTTTTAGCATCGCCTCTTTAGGCTCTACACTGTAATTGGGATTTTCTTGTCTTTTGGTTAAAAAATCATCTTCGACTTTCATGTCTGGATCACAATTCCTGTTGTATTACTTGGACAACCTTTTCTTCTGAAAGATAGGTAGGATTGGGACCTCAAAAGACAAAGGACCAGTTATCATGCTGGAACATGATGGCAAACCTGTTTTGCACAATTTGACGAAATCCTAAGAATCTAGGGTCACTCAGAAATAAAAAAGAAGCTTTTATATTTCGAGATATTAAAGAAAATACAACAATATGCTTGATGTCCAGAATCTTCAGCAAACAATATTTATGTATCAACAATACACTGTTTTTTGTGCTAAAAAAGTAGGAAAACAACAGAAACCACAAAGAAGAGGAAAATGGAAGTAGAGATGAAGAAAATGAGATTGTATAAGAAGTTAAGGAAAAGAAGGATGTGTCTCATCACATGATCGGTTTCCTCCCCCATATTATGGCTTTCTTTCTTCAAGGTAAGGAAGATTTTTATAAGAGAAATTAATGTGTGTGTGTGTGAGAGAGAGAGAGAGAGAGAGAGAGAGAGGTAGTTTGGATATCACGAATTTTCATCCCTCCATGGGCTTATAACTTTTAATTTATGAACTTTCTCTTCTCCCTCTCCTATTCTAAATCAATTACTCCTAACTTAACTAGGGTTAAGCATGAAGACTAGCTGATTTACTTGGGTATAGCTTGGTCTGATCATCTTTCTGTTTGACTTGGGTGCCAAGATCCACCAATGGATACATCCAAGTGCTACAAGGTCCCGTCAAGATTAGGATTGGCCCACTTAAGCTATTAAGTCTTGTCTTCTGTAGGATCTTCTAGAGGGTGCTCACTGGAATTTTGCATTATAACATTGCCATAGATGAAAAGTCCAGCTTCCCTTTTGTAAGGATGTGTCTCTTATTAATTTTCC